GCTTTCCTGCTTCCTCTCCATCAACTACAAAAGGAACTATCGGAGCTGCTAAGAAGTCCTTCTGGCCAGACCAGTTCAGTGCATTAACCCACCGGGAATTTCCTGGACACATAGAAACACTTGAGCTGAACAGACACAGAAAATTTTACATTGTTTCTCTTCTTTGATATGCATATAAAACCTGTAGAGGGTCTCACCAAGCCAGTTGCAGACGAGGTCATACTCCCCAACGTACACTAGAACCCTGATACCGTCCTCAAGCAGCTCAGGAATTCCAACTGCCAGATTCTTCATCAAGTCTCCCGCCATCCTATCGTATACATCAGTGCTGCAGGAAACGAAGGTTATGTTTCCGACCCCAAGTGCTTCCTTGACTGACTTCTCATTCAGAAATATCTCAATTGCAGATAAATCGTAGCAGAAGAGTTCCCCCTCGCATTTCTTTCTAATATCATAATACTGTTGAATCAAAGATTCAACAAGAACTCATCATCAAAACTGGAAATGCATGCTGATTTGAATCATTTTATGTTATTTAACTTACGTTTATGTTACCAGCAATCAACAATATTTTGTTAAATATTGACTGGCAGGTTTCATAAGAAGAAACACAAGTAGTATTCCCACCTCCAGACTCTGATGAAAAAGTACGTAGTCCATATCAGCACTTGATTTTCCAAGAATGAATAAAGAATAAAAGTTGTCCTTCATCAGAAAAAGAATCAATTACCACAGGCTTTTGCTGACTTGACACAATTTGGAACCAATTTCTCGATATTATAATAATCTGACTGATTGATTAAGCTCATGCTCAAAGCATAATCTGGTTCTGCTGCAAACTGAATGGCAGGATTGGTAAGCCCATTTCCAATAGCCATACCCTGCTCAAGTTCAACCATATTATATCAAATCAATCGAAATCCTTGAGAATCTGAATCCCAAAAAAAAAAGAAAAACAAAATTCCAAGTGATGATATTGATAATATACTACCTTGAAGTTAATGTGAATTCCTTCATTTGCTTTGTTTCCTTTGTGAATCCGTCC